AAACTAACTTATACTACCTACGCTCTTAAATAAGTGCAGAATGTTGAATTTTACATTATTCACATATTTGACTTTGACTACGTTTTATTTATTAATGTATTAATATTTTTTACAAAAAAATATTGTTAGATTTGTCTCATTGTAAATTTTCAAAATCTGATTTTTTTTTCTTTTTTGACTAATAGAGAATTATATATATTAGATTTTTGACTAATAAAAAAATTGTTAGATTTTCATTGTACATCGGAAAATGTGAAAAGTTGATCGTTGCATTTGTTTAGGAACGGAAGAAGTACTTTTTTCTCAATAATCCATATATTTAGCATATTTATACATATAATTAATAGAAAAATTATCATTAACAAATATGTAGTAAAAACTAACTATTACAGTTATAATTATAAAATATTAGTCACCAACTAACTATATATAATGATTAATAGGATTACAAATATAACTATAAGTGCAAAACGATTAACAATAATTAGTAAAAACAATCATTACATACAAAAGCATTATGAAGTTGTTAATTAAAAAAGGGCATATGATCGTGAAGAAATAAAATCAGGACATCAGGACAGCAGTATAATTAGGCAACTGGAGTACTGTATATATTTAAACATGAGCTAAAATGAGGCCCCCAAATATCGGAGGCCCTAGGCAGTGTGGCCTAGGCTAACTGCCCTTATGGCCGGCCCTGCCTAAATATAATGGCGAAGTTGACATCAATAATCTCTACTTTCAAGCATTTTACAAAAATAATATCTACTGAAAAAGTTCACAACAATAATCTCAACTGGATAATTGTTTCACAAAAATAAACCGGAAGTTAATGGTTTTAACTTTTCCGTTAATTTTTATTTTTTGAAATTTAAAATAAAATGAAGAATATATGTATATAAACATTAATAATATTATGTTTTTGTTTAGTCTTATTTCTACTGTAAATTAAATTTAATAATAACGTTTTTTGTATAATACAATAAAAACATTTGAACACAAACTTGAATTCATTTTAGTATGCAGTTAGGTTTAATATATAATTACTAAAATTACTTTTAAATATCTATTACAATGAAATAAAAAATGAATATAAAAAATATTGATTAGACCTAAAAGAAAAATGAGAATTTGATGAGTACGTTTTTAAATATTTCTATTACATTTTATGAAAAATAATGACTATTAAATTTAACTCATAATAAAATTAAATATAAGGACAAATATACGAAGTATATAATATTCTTGATTTTTCTACATATTTTCACTTCGTTATATTTAAAAACGCAAAACAAAAAACTAACGAGAAACTTAACACCGTTAACTCTGGTTTATTTCTGTGAAAGAGTTAGGTAGTTCGGATTATTGTTGTAAACTTTTCTGGTAGGGATTATTTTTGTAAAATGCATAAAAGTAGGGATTATTTATATCAATTTCGCCAAATATAAATAACATAATAACCGACCAACATACATTCAAACCATTTTGAAAAGCTATGTATAAAAATTAATCATATTAATTAGTGAAATTCAATATGGGTACACTGAGAAGAGAGTTTGTGTACATTCGATCGGATTGATGTACCCAAATCCATGAATACTAAAAAAATTTATAAAACGTCACTATGTTCGAGATGATTTTACTACATCAAAAGGTAATTTCAAGTTTATTTCAAAATTAGTTCAAAGTTTATTATGTGTGTCTAGACAAAAATAGTTTGGACTGACACTAGGCCACTACTGCTGGAGCTTTGTTGCCACCTCCTGCCGCTGCCGGTTTCCAGAACTCTGCCGCTGTCGCACTAGTGGAAAATCATTGATTTGCGGCATTGGATATGCGGCGGTTTTGAAATAACCGCTACAGATTAATAATAATAAAACATTTGTGTCACGCGTGGCGGTTTTCAAGTAAAAACCGCCGTAAACATTTTAATTTTCTTTTAATTTTTAATTGAAACGAAATATATGCGGCGGTTATTAGTTTAGAAACCGCCGCATATATATATTGAAATAAACTTTTCTACACGTGTGGCGCTTATTAGCGTAACAACCGCCGCAAATAATATTGATTTATGTAAAAAGCATTCGCACGCGTGGCGGTTTCAACACTAAGAACCGATGCAAATGATTAAAACACTTTAAAGCGACATCTGGGTTTCTCAATTCCGTTCGTGACCGGCAAACAAGAATGAAGAACCCTAGCTATAGGATGGTAAATCTCTTCCGCCTCCAGCTATGGAAAATCTTGACATCATGCCTGTTCTTCCGGGCAAGTAGCTAGGTCGCCGGTGCGTTGCAGAAGGACTTTAGATCGAATGGATCGTCAAAGCTCCGGTGTAGATCTCGAGGCAAGGTAAGGCATCCTTGTTTTTTATTTTTGTTAAACGTACATGGTTTATATATATGCTTCCTTGATTTTCAATTTTTGTTTTTCATTTTTTCGTGTGTGTATATTATTTTTTAAAGGGTACGTGTGTGTGTAAATCCGTGTGTGTATCTTGTTATCAAAATTCATACGAAGTATATGGCATATGTTCCCAGTAATTGCCTATTATTCGTGAATCGTGATGAAAGATGATGGCGGCAGCTGGAGAAAAGGGAGAAGAGGCGGCCGTGCTTTGTTGGAAGATGAAGAACGAGATCCATGGAAAGTGACGAAATATCCATGGAAAGTGACGAAATATCGGTATCCAATGGGGAGATCTCCTCACTTGTGAACTTGAGATTAACTTTTTTATTATATTACTACTTATTTAGATATGTAACCATTAGTTTTTACATTCAAACGTAAATAGTTTTTTATGTATGTATGTTTGATGTGGTTTGTATGAGTTTTTACTTATTTATGTTAATTAAACAAATTTGGTAATTATAACATTTTTCAAATCAAATATTAAAAAAATGAAAATGTGGCGGTTCTTTTGTTAATGACCGTCGTGCTTTCAATTTTTTTTTTCATATCTAATTTGCGGCGGTTCTTATGCTAATACGCGCCTCCCATTTTACTCCAGATTTATAGAATACGCGGCAGTTCTTTTAGTAATAACCGCCGCATGTTATTTTATTTTCGATTTTTTTAAAAAAAATAAAAATGCGGCGGTTTTTATCTAAAATAACCGCCGCGCGTATTTTTTTTGCGACAGAGCCGTTGGTGGCGGTTAAAACCGCCACAAATAGGGGTTAAAAACCGCCGCAAATATGCAATTTTCCACTAGTGTTGGTCCCCGAAATTCAGCCACAACCAAATTGCCACCAACTGACTAACCTTGATTATGCAAATTAACAAGGGGCGATTAACTATACGGAGCACTACATAGTCCGATCCGTATTAATTAATTATATTATGGGTACGTAGAAAGGTAATGCTTAATCTTATTTAGGGAATAAGAATCCTATTTGTGAATTTATGTTTAGGTTTAGTCCTATTTGAATTTATGTTTAGGTTTAACCAAGTATTCCAACCCATTTTGTTGTGAGGTTATTGTCCCTAGTGGGAGGTCTCAAGTTCGAATCCCGCTAGGTACACAAGGGTTAGAAACTGAATGGAATGAATTTCAGCTCTGATTACTACAGGCCCCCAGCCCCCCCTACCCAGACCCCCTGGAGCAAAAAAAAAGTTTAGTCCTATAGAACAATATCTCTTTAATGAATTTGAATACCTTCATTTTTATTAAATGTATGAATGTTCAGTTTAATAATTTTGTGTTAGGTTAGTTTGTGTTAATTTATTCACAAACTGAATAGTCATATAATATGCACAAACTTATATACGTAGTATATATGTTCAATTTTTTTTGACAGAATATATGTGTTCAGTTTATTAAATGAGAAGTGGCCAAGTGGGAACTATAGTGTTTTAAACTGTAGTTCAGTTTGCGAACACTGGACCATAGTTTCAAATACATCATTTTTTAATTCCATATTCTATAATTTCATATGAAACAATAGTTCAGACCTCTTCTGAATTGAAAGAAAAGTGCATATTTTCCACATATTACTACATATTATGCTACTAGATTTTGTTCATACAAGTGAAACTATAGGTTACCGATAGATTAATTGAAGTGACGAAGAGTTTACTTAAACCTATTATTGTATCTCTTCATTACAATGTCAATATGTTTGATTGTGTCTCGTCGACTTTTAACAAAATTTAAATTTTTAATATAAAAACATGTAATTACATGGCAAAAACCGATTAAAAGACCCTATTGATCGATTTTTTAAAGTAAATGTACCTATATGTTACCACTTTTTTTGGTATAAGAGACTTAATTGATGAATTGGAAGTAGTAGAATAAACTATTTGACCTTTTCCCCTTTTCTATTTAAAAAAAAAAATTGCTCATTAGGTACCATTATATACTCCATAATTGAATGTATTTCAAACGCGTAATTACTCCACTCTAGATATACGGTATATCCACTCTAGATATACGGTATATACTCTAGATATACCCCGTGCATTGCACGGGTACTTCATCTATTGTATAATATAAATGAATATTGTATTGATAATAAATTGATCCAGTAATGGTTTATGTCAAAAATAAAATACAAGTTATTAATTAACAAAATAGTTGAAATAAGAGTATTCCTTAAAAACATAATAACCCAATACTATAATTTGGCAATTTGCTAAGCTCAATTACAAAACATCATAATGTAATTACTTTATTAGCATATTGTTCGCACTAGAAACTAAAAGTTTATGAATGAATAACTAGTTAGATTTGAACTAGTGTAACGCCCAGGGCATATATGCCCCGATAGTGTAACGTTGATATAAATAAAAATAGTAAATATCAATTGAGATGCAAATTATTTATAGAATTTGTTAATTAATAATATATTTTATGTTAAAATATGATATGTTTACTGATATTTTGAAAAAGATGATTTTAAGGAACTGTCGTGCATATAGTTTACTATTACTATTATTATTACTGTTATTATTATTACTATCATTACTATTATAATTCTCTTATTATTATTATTATTGTTGAGTTTAATCCAACACGATATAGTAAATATATGTATAAATGTGTATGAACAAGCCATTTTTACGTGGAAACCCGAAAGGGAGAAAACCACGGGACTTTTTAGGCTAATGTCCAAGCCCTCTCAATTCTCATTAGGCTCTCCTCACCATTACATTATACCAGCTTGAAGCTCCCATTAATGGAGTATTTGAGCTATTCTAGAGGAAGAAGGAAGAAGGAAGCTAAAAAAGAGCCTCCTCAATATGGAGGGAAGCTCCCATATTTATAGAGAATAGGGGGAGGGGATGCTCTCCACCCTAACGGGCCGCGTGGGCCGAAGCGGGCCGAAATGGCTAGAGTGGGCCGGATGGGCCGAAATGGGCCTAGCTGCTCGGGCTCCGTAGTGAGTAATGTCCTGGGCTCCTGAACAGTAATAGGCCGGGATAATATATCCCAACACAAGTCCCCCAGTTTCTTGAGTAGTGAGCTCGCGAATCTGCTCGAGAAAATATATTCTGCCTGCGCTCTTCCTCTGTCTTGCTGGAAACTGTGTCTTCACATAATCATCATATATGAGTGAGTGTCTGCACTCCTGAATGTAATCTACCAGTGAGGCACCCCCCTTCTTGACAGGGTCGGGCGAAGGGTGCCCCTCCACGGGCACACTCCCCCTGAATGCATCAGGCGGGAGTAAAGAACTCTGACTCGAGCTTTCCAATCGGAGAAGCTTAGAGGTCCATCATCTATAAACCGACGTCGCGGTACTGTCAAAACATGATGCACGTGTGTATGTATGGATGTATGAGGTATGATGCATGAATGTATGTATGCATGTAATGTATGTATGTAATGTATGAGAGAGGGAATGCAAGATGTGATAGAAGCAGTAGCTCTCATCGATAACCCGGGCATGTCAGCGCCGAGAAGCAGACGCGCTGCGTAAGACGGGTCCCCCATCCGAGATGGCATGGGCGGAGCCGAAGGTGGACTAGACATGATGCCGCCGAGGGGCCAATCATGCTGCATACGACGAGTCCCCCATCCGAGATGGCATGGGCGGAGCCGGAGGTGAACTAGGCATGATGCCGCCGAGGGGCCAATCGAGCTGTATAAGAGATGTTCGTCGCCATCCTGGAAGGGATGGGCGAGCCGAACACGAGCCAGACACGATGGTGCTGGGGCGCTGATCGTGCTGCATATGAGACGTTCGTCGCCATCCTGGAGGGGATGCATGATCCGAACGTGAAAGAGACATGATGGCGCTGAGGGGCCGATCGTGCTGCATAAGACGGTCGTCGCCATCCTGAAGGGAATGTGCGAGCCGAACCGTGAAGCCAGGTACGATGGCGCTGATGGGCCGATCGCACTGCATAAGACGTTCGTCGCCATCCTGGAAGAGATGCGCGATCCGAACGTGAAAGAGACACGATGGCGCTGAGGGGCCGATCGTGCTGCATAAGACGGTCGTCGCCATCCCGGAGGGAATGTGCGAGCCGAACCGTGAAGCCAGGTACGATGGCGCTGAGGGGCCGATCGCACTGCATAAGACGTTCGTCGCCATCCTGGAAGAGATGCGCGATCCGAACCGTGAATCAGGACACGATGGCGCTGAGGGGCCGATCGTGATGCATAAGACGTTCGTCGCCACCCTGGAAGGGATGGACGAGCCGAACGTGAGCTGGGTACGATGGCGCTGAGGGGCCGATCGTACTGCATAAGACGGTCGTCGCCATCCTGGAGGGAAATGGGCGATCCGAACCGTGAATCAGGACACGATGGCGCTGAGGGGCCGATCGTGATGCATAAGACGTTCGTCGCCACCCTGGAAGGGATGGACGAGCCGAACGTGAGCTGGGTACGATGGCGCTGAGGGGCCGATCGTACTGCATAAGACGGTCGTCGCCATCCTGGAGGGAAATGGGCGATCCGAACCGTGAATCAGGACACGATGGCGCTGAGGGGCCGATCGTGATGCATAAGACGTTCGTCGCCACCCTGGAAGGGATGGACGAGCCGAACGTGAGCTGGGTACGATGGCGCTGAGGGGCCGATCGTACTGCATAAGACGGTCGTCGCCATCCTGGAGGGAAATGGGCGATCCGAACCGTGAATCAGGACACGATGGCGCTGAGGGGCCGATCGTGATGCATAAAAATAGTGATGATCATCTCATGGCCCTCGGCCTCTCGCGGCCCTCGGCCGTGCTGGTGATGTGTCAAGTCTCTCTCCTGATTGGCTGTGAGAAACCGATCGTCTGCCGGACTCCATCCGGGAAGGAATGGTGAGCCTGAAAATAAATCTGGGCAATGTCTCTCTTGTCTGAGCTGGGGAGCTAATCGTCGTTCGTCTACCGTATCCGTGGTTCTATGTACGGACCGCTAAGCGGTGTACACTCGGCACGCACAGACTCCGATAAAGAACTGGTTCTTCGTGTCTGATCCATGGAGCTGGTCTTCGTTCGTCTACCGTATCCGTGGTCCTATGTACGGACCGCTAAGCAGTGTACACTCGGCACGCACAGACTCCGGTAAAGAGCTGGTCCATCGTGTCTGATCCATGGAGCTGGTCTTCGTTCGTCTACCGTATCCGTGGTCCTATGTACGGACCGCTAAGCAGTGTACACTCGGCACGCACAGACTCCGGTAGAGAACTGGTTCTTCGTTCTTCCCAAGTCTCGTGAGTACTGGTCTCCTGGTTTCGCAGGAGACGTTCGTCATCCCAACTATGAGAAGGAACAGGTTTATCCACGTCGGGATTCCCTATTCTTCGTTCGTCCTTGTCGCGGTCCTACTAATCTTCTTACTTCGAAGAAGACGTTCGGTCAACCAACGATCGCAAGGAGGAACAGGTGTATCCACGTCGGGATTCCCTATTCTTCGTTCGTCCTTGTCGCGGTCCTACTAATCTTCTTACTTCGAAGAAGACGTTCGGTCAACCAACGATCGCAAGGAGGAACAGGTGTATCCACGTCGGGATTCCCTATTCTTCGTTCGTCCTTGTCGCGGTCCTACTAATCTTCTTACTTCGAAGAAGACGTTCGGTCAACCAACGATCGCAAGGAGGAACAGGTGTATCCACGTCGGGATTCCCTGCTTCGTCGTCCCATGCTCGTGGCCCTACTAGCCTTCTGCTTTTGCAGAAGGTGTTCATCGATCCACGGGAAATGGGAGGAACTGGTTTATCTTGCCGAGGTTCCCTTTGGTACGTCCAGCCTCCCCCACGTTCCTACTAACCTCCGCGTCGGGAGACGTTCGTCACGTGGTGAAGGAAGATCAGGCATACCTCGTCAAGACTCCCTCTCTCATAGGATCTCGTCTCCCCTTCTCCCCATCTTTTTTTTTTTTTTTTTTTTTTTTTTTTTTTTTTTCCTTCTTTTTTTTTTTTTTTTTTTTTTTTTTTTTGAGGGAGGAAAATACGTTCGTCGGTTCCAAGAATAACCACAAGTGATGTCACACATAATGGTGGTGGGATATCAAAATGAATAGAATGACGAGGCGATGGAAATGCTGGTCGTCATGCGAAGGCGATGGTCACCCTCCTGAAGGGAGGGGTGAGCCCAATCGCTAACTCAAGAAGGTCGACATTGGGAGCCGATACACAATGATCATAATGTCGCTGAGCAGTCGGTCCTGATAATGGAGATGGCAATAGTGTCTAGTCAGGCCGATATATCCGAGCAACGGCTCTCATCCAACGCAGCGCGGGGATGAAACCGGTCTTCAAAAGATAAATATGTCGTGCCGAGAGGCCGAACATAACATGATAGTGTCGGCAGTGAGAGGCCGACCTGAAAGAATCAACAACGGTCCTCGTCCACGAGGTGGCGGGGATGAGGCCGGTCTTCAAAAGATAAGCACGCCGAGCCGAGAGGCCGGTCGTGGTATAATGATGTCGGCAATGAGAGGCCGATATGAAAGAATCAAGCAACGGTCCTCATCCGCGAAGAGCGGGGACGAGGCCGGTCTTCAAATATGATAATCACGCCGGTCCGAGAGGCCGGTCGTGATATAATGATGTCAGCGATGAGAGGCCGACCTGAAAGAAATCCAGCAACGGTCTTCGTCCGCGCAGCGCGGGGACGAGGCCGGTCTTCAAAAGATGATAATCACGCCATGCCGAGGGGCCGGTCGTGATATAATGATATCGACAATGAGAGGCCGATCTGAGAGTGAGCACACAACGGTCCTCACCCACGGGGAGCGGGGATGAGGCCGATCTTCAAATATGGAAAGCACGCCGAGCCGGGAGGCCGGTCGCGATATAATGGTGTCGGCAATGAGAGGCCGATCTGACAGAATCAAGCAACGGCCCTCATCCACGAAGGGCGGGGACGAGGCCGGTCTTCAAAAGATAAACACGCCGTGCCGAGAGGCCGGTCGTGGTATGATGATGTCGGCGATGAGATGCCGAACATGATGTGGCAGTGTCGGCAATGAGGGGCCGACCTGCAATCCAGCAACGGCTCTCATCCGCGCAGTGCGGGGACGAGGCCGGTCTTCAAATATGGAAATCACGCCGTGCCGAGAGGCCGGTCGTGATATGGTGTTGTCGGCAATGAGAGGCCGACCTGAAAATCAGGATGGTCTCACGGCCCTCGACCGTGATGGTCTCCTCTAGGCCCTCGGCCTCTGAATGATGGATGATCGTCTCACGGTCCTCCGTCGTGGTAGTCCACTCTAGACCCTCGGCCTCTAGGTGTTCTCCCTAGGCCATCGGTCTCTGGGGTGGAGATGCCCGTCCCACGGTTCTCAACCGTGGTGGTCTCCTCTAGGCCCTCGGCCTCTAGGTGGAGATGCTCGTCTCACGGTCCTCAGCCGTGATGGTCTCCTCTTTAGCCGGCCCTGCACGTCTTCAAGATTCGGGCCGAGCGTCTTCTAATCATTTCGCTCAAGCGCGTCGAGCGGCTTCGGCTGCGCAATAAGCATGGTAACGGGCCGCGCGGCCCGATAATAAATATGCACACATAACCATCTGCATGGGTCATCGTGGCTTCCCTCTAACACCCACGATTACCGGCCTATGGGTCATCGTGACCCTCGGCCCGGCTCATCGTGCGGGGTTAATGGACGTAGCAGCTCGCGGCGGGGCCAATTAGCAGCCCGCCGAACGTCACATAGAAATATTCACCGGTCCGTGAGTTTTCAAACTCAGACCCAAGTTGGTCGCACTACCCTCGAAAAATGAGGTTGAGCACTTCGGTGCCCTCGGGCCCCACAGGCCGCGTTTGGCACAGTCACTTCGCCTAGTGGCGCAGATGGTACTAGGGTACGATCGTCGCTCGGGCACTTGGTGCCGTGCGGACCAATGCGTAACCCCCCAATTAAAATGCGTCGTCGGGGCATCGCCCTTCTGGAGACGCTCGGATCGCTTAATCAAGCTGATTGAGAGTGGGCCATCGGGCCCCACAAAAAATTAAATATTCGATAAAATATTGGCCGAACTAACTATCACTAGAGCTTCGCTCTGCATTATTTATTTCGGGACATTTTTATCCCTAACAAATAATAGTGATGTAACAGGCAATAATACCGATATTATCCTATCATTGGTCATTCAGATGCGCTCCGTTCGCTAATTAAAGCTGATCAGGAGCGGGCCGACGGGCCCACAACAACCAGTCATTAAATTTAAATGACGGTAAAAACTAATTATCACTTAGAGCATCACTCTCATTATTTAATTTCGGGAGTTTTAATCCCTAATAAATAATGGTGATAAAAATACTGGCAATATTTAATCATGCTGTATTATTCTAATACTTCAATAACTAGTAAATTGGGTTAGTGGCACTTAGCTTTTGGAGATCAAGCTTCGGCCAGCTGGGTTTGGAGATAAAGCTTGGTCAATTCTTCCATCAATTTTGACCCGGTCAACATTATTTTAAAAGTTTGCTCTTCATTATTTGGCCTCACTCCACGGACGTGGCTTGCCTCAGACCAAGGCATCGTGTGCGGAGTACATCTTTTAGGAAAAGGCAGGTGGAGCACCATCCTACCAAACCAGGTGCAGGCCGTTCGTGTCGGTCACTTCTCGCGAGTGGAGACGGCGGTCGCAGCCGAGCAAGGCGGCCCGAACAGCTTTTATCCGGCGGAAGCTCGACCGAACTACTGAACGTCCTTATTCTGAGCTCGAAAAACACCATTAATGGCAGAATCATGAAGCTCTCGACCGGCATACCCCACATGTCGCGTCGGCCGAGTCGTGGAAGCTCGAACGGCGACCGGGTGGGGGGAGTAACCAGCAGTAGGTCGGTGATGGCGACGGTGGTGTGGTGATGCTTTGGCGGCGACGATGCTCCGGCGGCGGCAGCAAAACAGAGCAAGATCCGGACAACCCAGATCTTCCAAAATCCTCGTTTTTCCTCTTCCTCCCGTTCAAATCAGTCATTTTTCCTTCTTTTTCGCTGGAATCAATCCACTCCATATGAATTTTTCGCAGAAACTCAAGAACAGTAGAACACACGAATCTTTTTGGACAGATTCCCACAGACGGCGCCAGTGTTGAGTTTAATCCAACACGATATAGTAAATATATGTATAAATGTGTATGAACAAGCCATTTTTACGTGGAAACCCGAAAGGGAGAAAACCACGGGACTTTTTAGGCTAATGTCCAAGCCCTCTCAATTCTCATTAGGCTCTCCTCACCATTACATTATACCAGCTTGAAGCTCCCATTAATGGAGTATTTGAGCTATTCTAGAGGAAGAAGGAAGAAGGAAGCTAAAAAAGAGCCTCCTCAATATGGAGGGAAGCTCCCATATTTATAGAGAATAGGGGGAGGGGATGCTCTCCACCCTAACGGGCCGCGTGGGCCGAAGCGGGCCGAAATGGCTAGAGTGGGCCGGATGGGCCGAAATGGGCCTAGCTGCTCGGGCTCCGTAGTGAGTAATGTCCTGGGCTCCTGAACAGTAATAGGCCGGGATAATATATCCCAACAATTATTATTATTATTATTGCTATTACTATTGTTATTGTTATGGTTATTGCTATTGCTATTGCTATTCCTCTTGCTATTATTATTGCTATTGCTATTTTTATAGCTAGTGTTATTGCTATTGTTATTGATATTGTTATTGCTATTGCTATGTGACGATTACGGTTACTATTATCATTACCATTATCATTACCATTACCATGACTATTACCATTATCATTATCATTACCACTACCATTACCATTACCATCACCACTACCATCACCATTACCATCACCATCACCATCTCTATCACCATCACCATGACCATTACCATCACCATGACCAATACCATCACCATTACCATTATCATAACCATTATTATACTACGTATTTATTATTATATTTATTTCTCCCTCCGTATTTTTTTGTTTGGTACACTTTCCTTTTTTTAATGTATTCAAAAATTTGCTACACTTTCCCTTTATGGTAAGTTTTTCCTTTAAAAATACTCAACTACCCTTACTTTTTCTACTTTTTATCTTTTCTTTCATATTTTTCCAACATCTCTCCTACTATTTCTACACAATTCATTACCCCTACAATTCATTACCCCTATTGTAGCAAAAAAAATACGGTGGGAGTATTATTATAATTATTACGAAGTATTAGTTTTCTTGTTGTTGGTGGTGCTGTTACTTAGGCCGATTTCAACCTTTTTGTACCACGGTTTTAAATTTATATGTATGACTTCTAAGCTATATATATTTCTAAAGTTAATGAAATAATTTGAATAACTTTCATCAGGCAATCCAAACAATGATACGTATTGGGAAATTGTCCTTAATAGGAGTGCAACGTTATGGAATTTCAAAATATGACTGTTATGTTTTTCTTTCCGAAATATGACTCGTTACTATACATTTTGTACTATGTTACTTTGTTACATTAAATTAGTTGAATATAATTCTACTTCATACTTTGTAGGCAAATTAAACTTAAGATGCAAAAATGATCGACCTTAAATGGAAAATAGTTCATGGTATTGTGTAATATATATAAAACCGATTTTGTAGCTCCTATTTTTCAGTTTTAAGTGTTATTAGTCATATTTTTGTCAAATACTCCGTATGTATGTAATTTTTTTATTTTCCACGGTGGAATGTGTAATGATCAAAATTGATAAAATTAGAGTTATTTTTTATGGTTGAATTGGTTAAAACTGTTGGGAATGACCACTTTAACTATTTTTCATATAAATCTTTCTTAAATGTATAGATATCAAGGAGTACTATCTTTTGTCATGTATTTGCTAAAAAAACTAATGCGTAATACAAAACTATAAATAGATAATTTTGAATAAATACTTTAATGTAAAACATTTCTGAACTCTTAAAACTTATTTTTTCCATTCGTGCAATTTCCATTTTGATTTTTTAATTATTATTCTCAATACTTAAAAGAGGTGGCACTATTGATTTTCTCCAATAATAATGATGGTATTATTGTATTCGTATTACTCCGTATTATATACGAAATATATTACTGTTGTAAGTTAGATCCGCCAAGACAAAAAAGATGAAATTCCATCCATGAGAGACTCTAACAGTGGCCAGATTATTCGTTAAGTGAGAGGATGTAAATTGGATTTTAATCATAAGCTGACATATAATGAGCCTATAGGCTCCTAACCCTATGCATTTTTATTCAGTAAGCTTTGATCGCAGTTGAGGTTTGAACTCGTAAGCTGAGGCACTCTCTATTCACCGGCAGATGCGTCTTTTAGAACAACTTCGTATTTTGCCTATTAATGCATTTAGGCTTAACTTTAGATTTATTTTTAATTTCACATTTTGAAGTGATTTTTTATGAGTTGTTAACGCTTATGAGATCTATATTTGTAGAGTTGTTTAATGGAGTTGTTTAATGATACTTATTATGAATCAACCGTACATGATGTAAAGTGATAAGAGGACTTATATGAGTGGTGACATTTTTTTGTATAATCAAATTAGAGTCAGCAGACAGTGTTACCTGTTAATTAGCCTTGAAAATTGAAGTCATTTAATGGTACCTATTAATTGTAGTCTCGGTGAAAGTGAAGTTATTTAATTTTTTGTTAGCCAATGAGCGAATGACAAATAAGTTATTCATAACTCAATTTTACTATATTGAACAATAGATTTATGAATTGATCAAGTACTTTTTAATCTTATTCAAGTCTCATCTAAATCGAGGAAGTTGACATTAACATAACCAAATACCAAAATAAGTTTACAAGAAAAAATCGGATAAGCCAAGCATTTCATCGAGGATACCAATAGTCAATAGAAGGGTGGGCTACTATATAATGAGACGTGCATCTGGCTAATAATAGTACTGTAGAGTATTAGTTAATTTTGGGCCTTCAATTTTTATGGGCCATGTGTGGCTGGGGTGTTTGCCCTTGCTTTGGGCCGGGCCTGATAAAAGTATAAAGTTATTAAGGCTAAAGGGTCAAATAGGTACATGAACTAACTTAAAGTGTTCAATTAGCCCCTTATATAGGAGGTTCTGCCCGGCCGTCGCCAATTGGGGTGGGTCCCGGTTTATTTTTTTGCTGAAATTTTTTGAGCATCTTCTTCATTAAGTCTAGTTTACCCATATCAAATTTCAGCTAAATATTAAATCGGGAAGGCAGTCAAATGATTTTCCGAAATGTACTGCGTTGTTTAACTGCGCAGTTATCTTCAAAAAATCATTTGACTGCCTTCCCGGTTGAATTTTTAGCTGAAATTTGGTATGGGTAAATTAGACTTAATGAAGAAGATGCTCCAAAAATTTCATCAAAAAATGATACCGGAAACCGCCCCAATTGGCGACGGCCGTGCAGAACCTCCTATATAAGGGGTTAATTGAACACTTTAAGTTAGTTCATGTACCTATTTGACCCTTTAGCCAATTATTAAATTTTTCTTCATTATATTAGGTAAAATAATTGGTCAAAATTTATCATATTTAACTGAAAAGTTCAAAGATGACTAAATACAAAGGGAGGGATGTAGTAGGATATAAAAAGATAGTGTTTTAAAATAATTTATTTAATTGACTTCCATATTGAATTTTAAGCTAAATTTTTGTGAATATAATCTACATTTGATGAAGAACCTGCTCCAGAAAATTTTATCAAAAAAATCCACATAAAAAACCTCAAACGAGTTTAACCATAGGGAACTCCCGGGGACGGAGCCAAATGTTAGCTTATGGCTGCCTTATGGTGTCAAATGACACCACTCAAATTACGTATTTATTGTATATGTATGCATATATAAATTGAAAGTGTTAAAAATGACACAACTCAAATTATATATTTATTGTGTATATATGTATATATATATATATAGATTAAAAGTGTTAAAAATGACACCACTAATTTTTTATAAAGTGTCAATATATATAATATACTCCCCTAGGGAGCGTTTGCTATAAGAACGGACTCCCAGAGAAGAGAAATGAGAATGTATATATGTGGAACTGAATTGTGCATTCGGTGAAACTGAAATGCGCATTAGATGATATTGGAATGTGCAGAATAAATTTTAAACTCAAATGTGCATTAGGTGAAACTGAAATGTGTGGAATAAAAGGTACAAAAATAACAACACATCGTACCTTTATTCTGCACATTTCAGTTTCACCTAGTGCTCATTTTAATTTCATCTAATGCATAATTCAGCTTCACATAATGTCACTAAATCGTACCCTTTGTGCTGCACATTTTAATTTCACCTAAGGGCACATTGCAGTTTCAAATAATGCACATTGAATTTCACTTAAAGCAAATCTAACGGTCCAGATTCGTTCTCATTTCTCTCCTAAGATCATGTTATTATTTGAACCGAAACCTACTCTCCTATCTCACATGTTTTTTTTATGTATGATTGAAAGAATAATGTTGATAATATATAATAAGAAACTGAAACAATAATATAATACTCCTAATTTAAAATTCACATTAATTTTACTCTCACTTAGGATAAGAGTAGCGATCCTGTTAGACCGGTCTAAGGCCATTCGGGGCTCTTTCTGGTGGATTTTTTGGATAATTTTTTATGAGCATATTCTTCATCAAGTCTATTTTCATAAATCAAATTGCAGCTTAAAGTTCAATCGGGAAGGCAGTTAACCAAATTCATTACCAAAACTCTGTTGTTTACATATATAAAGCGCAACTTGTAAAAAAAACTTTATTTAACTAATTCCCTGGTTGAAATTTTAGCTGAAATTTGGTGGGTATAAACTAGACTTAATGAAGAATATGCTCCAAATATCTGATCAAAAAGTACCATCGGGAGGGGCCCCAAATGACCTCGGCTTGACGGAGGTTCCCGTCAGGCCGGCCTAATAAGATCTGCGCACGCTCCTTAGGGAATTTTCGTTGGAATATTATTTTGACACCACTGACATTACATCCTGGCTCCGTCCCTGGGCACTCCTCATCAATCTGAACAAATGAAATTAGTTCTTCATATATATAATTTGAATGAAATTAGAATGCCATATATTTAGAGAAATTAGAATGAATCTAGTACGTTAGATAAGGTTTCGGTGCGAATTGAAGCGAGAAGTGGAAGTGATTCCAGTTAGAGGTGAGTTCGGTTCAAACGGTTCGGTGTCCACCTAAAATCAAATGCCGAACCAAAGTAAAAAGTTTGGTTCGGTTCGGTTTTATGTTCAAAAAATTGGAACTGTGGTTTGTTCGGTTCGATTTATTTCGGTTCGATTTCGGTTTTTTCGGTTTTTATCGAAGTATTTTTGTTCATTAGAAAATTAGTAATTGAAAAACAAAAAAATAAACTACATTAAACTATCATTAATAGTACGTAGTACAATACAACATACACAATTTAAAAAAAAACAAGTGCATTTCCAAACAATGAATTAGAGAGCATGTGTATACCAATTTAAACATTTTCTAAATTAATTAAACGCAAGAGTTTATTTTTGAATTATATAAATATATTCGCAAGTTAAAATTTTATTAGTAAATAACTTATTCTACTTTCTTTTTATACAAAGAAATTCATGTTTTCTGCTATGTTGTTTAAAGTATAGTTTATATTAATACATATTTTTTCAATATAATTTTTTTTGTGATAACAATCATACACAACATATACTCATATATAACCAAAATATCATTGTCATGCAACAACAAGCAAACTGTAAATTATGATTTAAAATATCAATATATTAGTATTATAGCAATATATTTAAGTGTATGTACAAGTGTTTCACTTAATTAAATCATAAATATTAAATGTCAATATCTTGCAAATCATGATAAATCAATCTAGTATCAAACATTAATTTTCTAGAATAAATATTTCTATGATTAATCAATAAAATAAAAAGTTCTAAAAAGTTCGGTTTATTCGGTTCGTTTCTGTTTTGAAATGTGAAAACCAAAACCGAAACCAAACAACTACGGTTCGGTTCGGTATTTTGAGTCCGGTTTCAGTTTTCTTGCGGTTCGGATTTTTTCAATTCGGTTTTCGGTTTCTCCAATCCACCCCTAATTCCAGTTAATCATATCCCACACTTAAGATCCTCCCATGTAAAATGTTTTGTGTTCAAGTTACCAAGCAAGTTTCTCTAGCCACATTTGCTGGACTAGTTGAGTAATGAAAGGTCATCTCGCCTCAAGCATTATAATATAAGACCTAGCTAACTTCTTGTTTGAAAACCTCTAATATTGTTAGAGCGATTCGAACTTAACTTTTTTTTCAAGAGATTAGAATGGACTTTTGGGAGCCCTAGAATTGTGTGACAAAGTTAGGATCAGTGTTAATAAAAATACCCCCTATAGAACGATAGATATATGATATATCCGAGCTTCTCCAAGGAATGTGTGAAAGCTGTTTCTTAGGTATTGTTAAAGATGAAGGTGGAGTGAGCTTTACCTTTTCACTACAACACTTTACAAATCAATTTTGCATCGGTGGTCAGTACCCATTTGGAGTTTCTTAAAAAAAATCAGAGTTGAGGATTGAAGAACTGTTTCAAGAACATCAAAATGTGCAACATTGTCATTGTCTGCTAAAAGTGCATGTAATTAATTAACACGACCCAAGGGCAAAGTAGACCCAAGAACAACCTGTGTACAATAAATACAGCTGGAGTAACAGTAATTTTGACGAAAATTTCTAAATGAAAAGCACAAAACGAAAATGTCAATCGTTCACAAATCATAGATATATGCCTGCAAGGTTGTAAGCATTAATCTCAGAACCTCTAAAAATATTCAATCAAGAAGGTTGTACATTTACATGAATCTTTTTTAAAAAAACTATGTGATACAAAAAGATAATACAAAGTAAATTATTAAAAACCTTGTCAAAACTATATTTTGAGATGAGATGATAGAAATACACTATATGTTGCCTATAAAATTCAGAACAAGTTGCTTCTTGATTTCTTCTTTTCTGTCGCAAAATTTATCATCTTGAATTAAAGGGGGCTTAGTCTAATCTGCCAAGAGGGGACTCAGATGCATGATCATCCACTAACCACAGACCAAATTCTCTGAAACGTTTAATCTTCTTCTCAAATCCGGTAATGTAGTTATTGTGAATAATAACAGTCATTCCCTTGGTCTCTTGTACCCATGCTGGGTTCTTGAAGTATAGACCACCGGTTGGGAATGCCGCTTGAGGCAGCAGATACAAGTCCACCTACAATCATTTGATATGCATTGAAGCTCAGAGTTCACCAACATTCTTTCATTCAAACCAAGAAACGAATACACAGGTTTATTTGCATTGGTGTTATTAACATAAAGAATCATATGGTTGCAGCGATTTTTAAACTAAACTGAAGATAACAGCTTAATGGGAAATTAGAAAAGTAGGCACCTGTCCTGAAGTTTTATTTAGAGACCAGTTAAAAGCAGGCTGGTCATTAGATTTCTTAGCTTTGGACCATGGTTGAGCTTGTAGTTCTTCAATCCACTTCTTCATAACTAACTTTGCTCCTTTTGTGGGACGCATATAAATCATGCAGCTACATATGTAAGTTCGGCCTTTTTTCCCTGGCGGTGGCAGATCGTGAGAGTGATTTAGAGGTTTCACCTAGTAATCGTTCAAGAAAAAAGGGAAATAGCAAATGAGTAAGCAGTTATAAAAGAAAACATAAATAGAAAGCAACTTTATCGACCTACTTTTATAGCCTCCTTCCACCACCACCAGTAAAATTAAAGCGGCATATAGACAATCCTAATATTATTTCAGTGTTGAATCTAACTCGTGGTCTTTCCACTAAACCCTCCAACTTTGATATTTAAAAGGACTGCTTGGTAAGGGTTATTCACCTGAAATAGCCGGATTTTCTTATAGCAAAAGTGTTTGTTAAAAACCAAGTTCAGTCAAATAAGCAAGTCAAAAGCTTCTCATTCTGAAGCATAATGACACTATTATGGCTACCAAATGAAGCCTGAGTTTGCATGTGAAATCTCCTTATAGATCTACTTGGAAAAATAATTAGGCACTGCAGAAGGAAGTATACATACCGCAGCCATGTCATCTGTAAAGTACACATCATGCTTCCCCTGCAAGTAAGGAAATGGATCTGCTAGCCATACCATATCCACATCATTATACATGACATTATAACCAAGCTCCAAAATTTGCAGAAGATGGCGAGGCCTTCGGGAAGTAAAATTAAAGAATCCCTGTATAACCAAAAAAAAAATCCTTGCTTCAAGCTGGAATTAATTAAATTTTGTAAATAGGCACACCATTTCATCCGTTATAAAGAGCAATAATGCAGACAAAGCATTAACACCTCCAGTCCTCCACAATCAGTAATCACCCATAATGGATAGTTAGGACACATATATAGCTCTGTATTAACCTAAATTAGTAAACATAAAGAAAAAATTACAATTCCAGCAACTATAATAGAAGCATCATACATAATCATGATAGAAACCTTTAACAAAACAAATACTCAACTAAATAAGTAGATTTCAAATGTAAGCACCTTCCAGATCGGTAAGTACTTGAAAAAAATGAGCATTTTCCGAAGGGAAAGAGTACCTGAGATCCAAACTTGTGAGCACTTTGAGACTCCACAGCAGGAGGGATCAACACAGCATGGCCAGGCCACCTTTCATTAACCTTATACAAAGTCGCATAGTCCTCAGCAATCACCAAAACTTTCTCATGCTGCTTCTGCCTGGCAATGCTGATCAGCCAATTGCTCAAGAAGGGCAAGTAAGGCTCACTCACAGCGCACACTATCAAAGTTCCATTTTTCGACACGCTGGACGCCGCCTGTGCCAACGTGTACTCCCGCCACTTGGATTGGGAGATCCTGGAGCTACTTCGGGTCTGGAAACCCCAGATACCCGGAATTTGAGCCCATGGGAAGAGAACTCCGAGGACCACCAGAACGAGGAGGAGGATTATTAGAGATGCTCTGTTGAAAAGGAAAGCTGTGTGTTTTTGGTAATCCTGCGATGACCGAAGAGATATACCGTATTGGTTCCTAAGAGAGTTCTGGATTGCCCTCTGGTGTAAGATTGAGGACATTGTGTTTTTTTCTCAATATCTTCTCAGTATCAGTATGCATGTATATGCATTGATTTATAAAATCTTGCGAGCTTATCAATTTGAAAAACTCAGATCTGTAAAGAATTGGGAGAGGGAATTTCTGTCTGGGAAATGTAGATCAGTGAGCTTTGGAGGAAGACGACGTCGATCTGGAAAATTTTACAGGATTATGGGTCTGGTAGACACAGGCCCAACAGCCTACAAATGTCGGCAAGGCCTAAGTAGAACGTGCTTCCCAAATTTAAAAGTGCACTTTGTTTTACACACAAATTAATAAAGCAACAATGTTTGACACTATTTTATTTATCAAATAAGAAATTAAGACTTTTAAGGGTTGAATCGAAAATGAAAGTGAGATGTTTATGTAAAAGTATTTGGATACTCAAAAATGTTAGGGAAATACTCCTCCTTCTAATAAAATTCTTCCTAATTTGCTTTCGATCGATCGGAGCATAAAAATTTGGAAATAAAATGAAAATACATAGTTATGGTTGGCTAAATAAATGTTAATCACACAAAACCTTCTGAAAAAGAAAATAGAAATGTTTTTTCGGGTCATCATTAAATGGTAAGTAAGAAAATTTTATAGAAAGGAGAGTACATAAAAATAAGAGACCTTTTTTTTAAATTTGGATGACTTCAGATCGAAAATTGGAAATAAGAGAATAAGTTGAAGCTGATATACATAGTATGTTGAATAGGCTGAAGGATCAAATGCAGTCTTGGAGTTGTGCAATGAAGGACGTGGTAGTGGGCATGAAAGTTACGTTGTGATCGAAGGAGGAACCGGATCGATCAAACAATGAGAAATTTAGGGTGTTTGCAAATGTTTTTACTTAAAAAATCACTTTTTAAGTGATTTTGGAAAAAGTGATTAGTAGTAAAAGTTGATAGTGTTTCTGAAGAAAGTGATTTTGAAATATAAAAGTTGGTGGTGTTTGGTAAAATAAGTGTCTTTGGTGTAATAGAAAAAGTAAAAAACAATTTTCACCCAAAAGTCGAGAAGCATTTTTACTTTTTTTTAAAGTTAGTCACTTGAAAACACTAATTTTAACTTTTTTAAACCGAAAACCCTAGAGAGCTCTTGTTTCTCCCTAAAAACCTAGCGGCCGTCTCCCCTCTTTGTAGGGGTTGAGATTTTCCGCCGTCCTATCAATATGGGGCTGGAGCGGCAGATTATTCTGATTACAAGTGTTCTAATGCTTGAGATTGCAACTACGTTGAAGGAGATAACGTTGGCAGATAAACGGATTGCGGGTGAGAGTTTGTCTCGATGCTGGATCGTGAAGCCTGGGTCGGCCGCTCCGGCGGTGGTGGAGTTGGTATTCACCCATATTGCAAGAGTTTTGTGGAAAGATTTTATTTCAACATTATTTTCTCTTTAATAGTACTTGTTTTTATTTTAGTCCGAGTAGATTTGGTTTGAATGTTTGGGTCTTTGGAGTTCTTTTGATAGGCAGGGTTTCAGATCTGTTCGTTTTAGGCTGAAATTTGTCCGTTTCAGGTTTAGCGAATTAGGTTGCTTTGTATGAGGTGACTGATTCTATGTCTACTCCTCGGGTTCCAATTGGATTTGTAAAATCTTTCTAAAGATTGTTTTGTATGCTTTCTCGATTTTAATATAAAGCTGTCTCTTTTACGATCAAAAACTTTTTAAATCAAAAGGCGAGAAGCGTTTTTTTTAATCTATTGCAAACACTCCCAAGTGTTCGGTGAATGAAGTGATTAAGCACAATGACATTATTATGAAAGCCTCCATACGAGAAAGTTGATCATTGATGGTAGCTAGACATTCAAGACTGAATAAGTTATTTGAAAAAAAAAATCTAATGTTGAATTAGCAATCAAATATTAACCTTGCCTAAATTGTTAATGAGTTGATTAAATACTTCTTTTAGCTGGAAAATTTAGTACTCCGTATATTTTTAGTTACATAGAGCAATTATCGTGAGGCCAACCATATGAAAAATTCAGTTAACCAACTTCGATCATCAACCATTGAGGTATACAGTTCAGAAGTTCAAACTAGAGTACGTCCCCTTCTCAACAATCAAGCCACCATTGTTTGAACTCACTAATTAGTGACAAAGTCAGAAATATAATACTCCCTCCGTTTCTATTTGGTTGACACGGTTTGACTTGTCAAGATTTAAGGGAAAAAAGTTATTGAGGGATAAATTTTACTGTAGAGTACACTGTTTGACACTGTTTGAACACTGTTTGGCACTGTTTGAACACTGTTTGGCACTGTTTGAACACTGTTTGACACTGTTTTGCACTGTTTAGGTAAAGATTTGTTTACCAAATAAGGAAATAAAGAAGTGTGGCATTCATTTTGAAACGTCCAAAAAAGGAAAGTGTGTCAACCAAATAGAAACGGAGAGAGTATAATGTAAGAGGGTCGATCAAAGAATAATTCATATATAGGTGGGATAAACATTAATCTCCATGACACCTAGATGATTATTGTGTAATTGTGTTGACATATGCATGTAATATGAATTAGGAATATAACTAGTATTCTGCATCAATATATAGTAATACTACTACTAGTAAGATTAGATGTAATAAGCTCTTACACAATATATACCTTGAACAAATTTAAATAAGGCTTTACTTCAACAAAATAATCTGTCTTAACATTTTTAATTTATCTTGAGTAATAAAAATTAGGGCCCTATTAAAATTTTAACCTTGTTGATACTCCCTCCGTCCCAGAAAATTCTTCCAACTTTCCTTTTTGGGACGTCCCAGAAAATTCTTCCAACTTCACCTTTTTTATTATTTGTGTGGCTCACATTCATTTCACCTTTTTCTTACACAACTACAACCACACATTTCTACTTTATTCTCACTTTCTTAAACTCCGATCCAAATCAAACTTGGAAGAATTTTCTGGGACGGATGGAGTATATACTAAAATTAATACTACCTGAAAACCTGCCGGGCCTTTATTAGTAATCGTAATAAACTAAACGCCATATACACTAATATTCTGAAGTCTGGATGCTTTTAATCAGCTTTCTCGTTTTCTCTTTGACTGCAGAGAAAGTAGTTGATAGCGCCGCCGCCGTAGCCTTGCCGCGAGTTGATGCAACCTTGGCCGCCTTCTCTTCATGCGTGCGGTTACCAAATGGTGGAGGATTTGGTCTCGTCGTACGTAATTTATAGCCCTCCGAAGCATCCTACGTACGACAAAAGAAATTATTAAATTCTTTCAATCATAATTAGCTTAAGATTACATATGTTTGGGTGCTTTAAGCAAGTTCTTAACTGGATCGAATATTTTAATATTTCACTTTGCACCTCATTTTTAGAATCATTAATGTGTACATCCCGTAGTCTAAAATCATTTGACTTTGTAACTCATTCTTTAACTACTTATGGGTTGATGGAATAATGGAAATACTCCGATAGTATATTCTAAAAGTAGGGTGCCAAAAGCCTAATTTAATCCAAAAACAAGTCGCAAATTTCTCGTTTTTAATCTAATCTAATCCAAAATGATCTTAGCTTGTGCGGTGTACTTTATAATTGTCTAATTTTGTCTAATTATTTGATATGATATGGTTTGAAATGAAATCGTTTCAATTCAAAACATCTTAATATCTAATGGCATGATATTAATTACGGAGTAATTGATTTTGATTATATATTGATCAGTCATGGTACGTACAATTCCCAAGGTTTGCATGGCTACCCTAGATGCGGGACCTGCCCCAAGTGACCGAGGTCGTGTTGACGATGAGGGTATTTTCTTTGTCCTCATCTCTTCCCCCACATCTGCAAATGATATTTTCTGGCAATTTAATATTAATTATTATTAAAATCAATAGCATTATTTTCTAATTAATTACTATGTACTACATAATACATACTACCTCCGTCTCAAATTGATTTGCAAATTTGACTTTTTTTGTCAAACAGTTTTATTTTGTTCGCTTAATTACGATGTCAATTTTTAATTATATTCTAATTTGGTGTTTACAACTTTGAAGAGATTTTAATGTAGTTTATGAATATGTAAATTTTAATTATTAAAAATTGAGTTAATTATCCGTAAACAGGGATGACTTTTATTATTGGTTGACCAAAAAATGTTGACTTTGCAAAACAAATTGGGACGGAGGGAGTATATATATATATATATATATACTCAGGTAAAGCGCACACACACATGGGCGGATCTTGGAGAGGGCCAACCTAGGCCCTGGCCCATCTCAAATTAAAAAAAAAAACGCTTTATTTTTAAGGTAAAAAAAATTCGTTTAATTTTTTTCAAAAAAATTCTAAGTATCATCCCGATCTGGCCTTGAAGGTGTACCCTTGTTCCGCCCCTGCATATATACTTAGGATAATACATACGGAGTATATATAGTCAGGATCATTAATTAAACTTTTCTCATACCCGAAGATGTCCTGCCTACACCAGATGTTCTTCCGGACATCATTGCATCCTCATCCCTACATAGATCAGATTGTGATGCATAAAATCGTTTCAGTCTCATGTATTACCCACTTAAAAAGGTTGAAATTTGTTTTTGGATTGTTTTATAGACCTAGTATTAGCCTTCTTTAATTACTCTTTAGCAAGTTTTATTAGTGCTTCAAGTGATCCCAACAAATATTTCTTGTGAACATCAGGGTGATCTCAATTTTGAGACACTAACTTTAGGCTCTCAAGAATCCACCACGATCTTATGACAGAATAATTAAGTAAAAGGTTCCAACCTTGTTAAGAACTGTGAAGGCCTTCTGAGTTTTGATTTGGCTTCTAATGCTAGATGCCATGACAGTGTTTTAGGAGCAGGGGCACCTGACATTAATTAGTGCATGCATGAAGTAACCATTCATATTACTCTCAAGTACTAAGACTTAAAGTTGAATTACTATAACATCTTATAAATCATAGCATAGGTAAAAAAAAACTTTTACCTAATAGACAGATTTGGGGCCTGGTATCTTTATGTTGCGTCTGACTCTTTTGAATATGTTCTTGGCTAGAGTCGACCTTCTTCCTGACTGCTGAAGCTGTCGTCAAAGAGTTGAAGAAGTTAAATACATATACAGAAAGTGCTAAATGAAGAAATTTTAAACAGGGAGATTTACCAGGACCAAAACATGTCTTTTTTCCAAAATAGGACTACCGTCTACCTAGCTACTAGAATAAAATGGCTTAAATAGGGTTTTTTGTTTGCAATTGGACCAAAATTTTAAGGGTATATTTGGCACAACTAGCTGAATAGATACTTTTATGAGCTTTTAGTAACTATTATGTAGTACGAAGTAGCTTTCAGTGACTGATAGATGTTTGATAAGCAGTTGACTGTTTGATTTAGTTTTGTTTGGAATACAACTTGTTGAGACTAAGTGTGTGTTTGGCACAACTAGCTGAAAAGATACTTTTGTAACCTTTTTAATAACTGTTAGCTTTTAGTGACTGAAAAGATCTTAAAAAGAAAAGGTGGTAGCTGTTTGGTAAAAATCTGACTATTTGATTTAGTTCGGTTTGGTATACAAGCTGTTAGGATTAATTAGTACTAAAAGTCATGGGCTTTTCTCAGATGCTACTCCCCGTAGCATCTCAAAAAAGATATTTTAATTTTTGAAAAGCTCTTAAAAATTGTCATGTCAAACATACAACTAGAAGCTTTTAGAGACTTTTTGAACAATACAAAAGCAAGAAGAAAGGAACTTATGCGTGCCAAACATAGCCTAATTAATGCTAAAAGTTGCAGACTTTTCTCATATGCTACTTTCTGTCACTTCTCAAAAAAGATCTTTATTTTTAAAAAGACTCTTAAAAATAGTCATATCAAACATACAACTAGAAGATTTTAGAGATTTTACACAATACAAAAGCTAGAAGCCGGAAACTTATGCATATAAAACATGCTCTAAGTGTAGTAACTTTAGTCATGTAAATTATATTCAAATTTTTGCACTTAAGTGACTATGAGACTATACTATGGTAACAATTAGACATATATTTGTATATATATTTCATTTCAATAATATATACTTTCTCCGTTCTTTTTTAATTGCAACCGTCCACTTTTCACGCTTGCCAACGCACAAGTTTGACCATTAATATCTTTCATTCCTTATTAGTAAAAAAATTCAGAGAAAATTTAAAATAAGATAAACTTAAAAATATTTTTTAAAATTTTAATTTATAATGCATCAATAAATAAAATGTAGTCAAAGTAGAATATGTGAATAGTACAAAAAGTCCAATGTTGCAATGAGAACGGAGGTAGTATCTAAAAAGTCTTTCTTCATCTTCTTTTATTAATGGGAGATATATATACCAGGTAGAGTATAATGTTTGTGGAGCCTTGGATTTGTTGCTAACAGCTTCTGCTGCCTGAGACCTTCTTTATCAATATATGTTTGGCAGGTGAAAATTTGCTGATGGAAACGTGTGACCATCAACTCCATGGTTGAGATATCCGAGGTTTCTTCCTCCAGCATTTCGTTCAGCTTGTAAGCAACTGTTCCTATGTGGTCAATTGCACTCACAACAGCTCGTTCAGCATATTCTTTTAGGTTGTCCATAGCCCTAAAGTTAATATAGAAGAGACCACATGCCGGCCGTCCAAACAAGGCATAATAATGTTAATACTTTCTGTATATGTCAAAGAAACAGGTTCTAAGTTTTTTTACAGTGGCATACTATACATACATCTCTTTCTGGTTGCTGTAGTGGTAAGATTTCTCGGAACATTCTGCAGCAGAGTCAAGTTGTGGCCTCAAGTTCTTGAGTTCCTAAACCATGAGTAACATGTAAGTTTTCATGCATGAAGAATAATGTAGCCTTTGAGCTGAGGTACTACTAAATATCTCATGCTAGCCAATAAGCCAAATCTAAATATAAATTTATACTCCATCTTCCGATAAGATTGCATTTTACTTTTTGGTTTTTCCCACTAAGATTGTCTCATATCAGATTTGAAAGTTTGTGAAAATCGCGTTGAAGATTACATTTTACTTTTTCGGTTCGTCCCACTATATTTTTGCACACACAGTATATATATAGATCTTCTATAGATCTTCTGTTTACCAAAAAATATAAATATATCTATACATTTACAAATTGAACTGAATCTAATTACACAATATCCATAATGTGGTCTACAATTTGTGAAATGTGTGACAAAATTATAGTATAAGCTCGACATCCCTAATATTTTTTTGGGATGCACCATTAGATATATGTGTATTTTACCATTGCTCAAATTTGATATGCTCTATTCTGATCAAATCTAACGGTGAAGATAACTCATTAGATTGATACTATTAAACACCTTACTATTAAACACCTTACTATTAAACACAAGTTCTACGTCCATCCCACTAACATTAGAACATGAAAATGCGGTGCGATTACTAAAAACGTGTGTTATGTGCTTGATATTTAATAGACATAGTAAGAATCATTTATAATCACACAAACTTTATAAATTTGATAAGTGACAAACTTAATAGGACAGATAAAAAGAAAAGATGAGACACCTTAATGCAATGGAAGGAATGTTATAACCCGGCCATAAAGACCTACTAGGATTATATTGGAGACTATGGGGGTGTTTGGTAAACCGCGTTTCACCCGAAAAAAGGCCTACCAGCCTTTTCAATATGTGAAAACGTTGTTCGGTAAATAGTTGTTCGACGCTAGCATTTTTGGACGAAAACGTAACGCCAAAATGAACACGCTTTGAATAGGAGAGTTTTGGGCTGGCGTTTTGAAACATGGTGTTGTCTACTTATTTTATGGCCAAACAGCTAAATTACCAAACATCTTTTGACAACCCGCCAATTTATTCCGCTAGTCAAACTCGCTGACCGAATTCGCTATTGATAACCCGCTAGCATAACCCGCTATCCGCTGAATGCCAAACACGCCCTATATCTATATAAGTCTAAAAAATGATACTCATTATTGTTGGGAATAAAAGGACCGAGCTAATATGAGGAAAACATATGTCTATTACTATCAACAATATAAAGAAGAAATTTACAAGATAGAACTAAAAATTCTTAAAAAACACATCACATATTTCTTATGGATATATATGACTTTTCTTGGTTGTCCTATGATGATCTAATATCTGATGATAGAAAGCTTTACAAGCTTCTCTGTTTATAGGATCAAAACAAGGTAGTAGAAAAGTGAGAGCATCTTCAATGCTATCATGTGCATGGTGCACAAGTAGTATCAGAGATAGCCACATAAATATTAGCAAATAAATTATTTATCTCCTTATTTGAATGGTTTTATACAATTTTGGTAAGTTTTTTCCACAACGTCAAGAAGACCGTCTAAATATTTAGATTGTGGTTGACATTGCAGAGAAAAACTTATGAGAATATATACTCTCACATAGTCACATGTCTACCCGGTTTACACCTTTCATTATGTCTTTCCTATGAGAACATAAGTTTGGACTTTATTACGATAAAAAGATAGAACCTACAAATAGGATCGTAGACAATGCCTTTGCATAGGAGCCACATATAATGTTAAGCTCACTTTTCTAGAATGGGAAATAAAATGGGAAAAAAAGCGTAAACCCAGAAGGGGTTGAAGAATATACGGAACGAGATAAGCTATTTCAAATGGAAAAAAATATTAAGGTCTTTTTTTAAGGAAAAAGAATTATTAATTGGCATTAATCAAATCAAAGGACGGAACTTTCACAATACAACTTGGGGTAAGTTCACCCAAATAGACCATCAGACAAAGAACATGCTTCCTTAGCTAATGCATGAGCAACCATGTTCGCAAAACGTCTAACAAAAGAAAAAAATTATTAAACCCTGAGCTAATTTCTCGAATGTCATCTGCCAACAAACCTCCTGAAAATATGAAGGTCTTAAAACCCCTAATTAAATACGCAAATTCTATCGCATAAGTACATACGCACCATCTATATAGAGTTTGAGATTCACGCAGGGGTAATTGGAAAATGACTTCTGATAAAAAAAAAGAGCGGTTTGACTACTTTTAGCGTTTTCAATAAATGAAAATGTTGTTTGGTAAATAATTGTTCAGCCCTAGCATGTTTGGATCAAATGGATGAAATGAAAACATTGCAAATAAGAGAGTTTTCAACTAATTTTTATGACCGAACAGTTAAATTACTAAACATTTTCTTGCAACTTGCCAACTTGTTCCGATAGTCAAATCCGCTAACTGAATCTGATATTGACAACACGTCATCCGCTAACTGTTAAATGCCAAATACGTCCATAAACTAATAAACTCGGAAGATGCTTTTATAAATGTACATTTTGCAACTAAATGTACATTTTGAAAGCTGCACAAAGTCCCCTATGTTTGCCTGTTTGGCACTCCTCCCAACTCATAATGTATTGAAATTTTATAAATTCAATCCAATGTGCAACATTAAGTAGTCATGTTTGAATAAAAGCCTAAATCAAACTGAAGTTGGAAAACATAGGTGAACTGAAACCTTACGGTGCCTAATATTTAGGGGCGGAGCTAATGTATCTAGGGGGGGGGACTTAGGCCCCTGTCGACCCCAAATTTCATGTAAATATTTTTCCTAAAATATTTTTTGTACCGGCTCAATGTCTGGGCTCCATTTCCCGCTAATGTTCCTATTTAGCCGCTCATATATGTTAGAGTTGCGTTCCTAAACCATCCCGCTGGTATGTTTATTCAATTCGCTGGGTTCCTATTGCGCTAATCGTCTCTTTTCGTGTGGAGTTCTTCTTCATCGGGTTTCTCGTGTAAGATATGAGTTTCTTAGAATTGGTCCATTAATGATATTTAATAGTCATTAAGATGAGCATACCTATATATACTAGACTAGAAATCAACTTTTATTATGTAATACGGAGTATCAGATTAACTTATTATGATGGGTCTTCAAGCAGTAACACCTAAATAAAGGATATACGAAAGCTTTTATCTAAGATATGGAGGTGATACTAATTACTCAATGGGTATAGAATACTCCGTAAAATATAGATTGATATATTACCTGCAAGGCCTTGAAGAAGCTGTTGCTTCGCGCTGCCCATACCTCATCTGCCATGGTTGCAGGATTTTCCGACATTCCTCGCTCCACCTCCATCCCCACTTCCCACCAATTACTCTTAAACAGAACTGCAATTTTTGGAGCATTTCTTGTTGCTGATAATTAAATAGCAATAATTCTGAAGAATGGTTTACGAGGTGATAACTAGGCAAGTAAGGTATCAGCGGCAATGGTTGGAGTTATTCTTTTAATTACACTTTTTATCTACTCCGTATAATTCAAAACTTAGAAAAGATGAGCTAAGATATGCAATGAGAAATGGCACTTGAGAAGCAATCCCAGAGCGTAGATACGAACGGACTTTTAATTACTTGGAGTCCAGGGCAAGGGAAAGTGACAGCTAATACTATATTATTTGGGTATAACATCCCATATTTTTTCTATGGAAAAAACTATAAAGCTTTTTATCACCATAGAAGCGGCTATCTTATTCAACTAGGGAGTATATCTTTATACTTTCCGCGAGAACACCTCCAACTTTTCTTGTTTAGTACGTAGTAATAGTCATGTTTGACTAAAGATATATTCCATACGAAGTTGAAAAGGCTAGTCATAATTGGTCCTTACTTCCTCCAAGAGGTTGAATCCCCATCCAAGTACCCCACACCTCAACCCAAGAAAGCATATGGGAGCTTGTAAATCACGGAAGCTCAGTCAATCCAATAATGATAAATCTTGTACCCGTGCGCAAAAGAGATACATACAACATATAAGAGTTGCGACCTCCACACGGCCGCTACGAGTTTAGATCTTTGATCATTTTCCAACTTTCCCGTGTCACTCGACCAACTGAGTTACCCGTGCAAGTGAGAACCACGACCTTGGTAACAAGAGCACGTGTGTTTCAAGATTATAAATAAGTTCTTACTCCAATAGTTCCCTTGATTTTAAGGATCTTATCCTTTAATTGTATACTCGAACACATAATCTCACATGAATTGCCATAGAATACCAATGTATGTTTTAATTAATACCAATAATAACAACAATAACATAAATATTGGAAACAATGCACATAGTAATAAGCGAGGAAACAAAAATTGCTCCACAAAGCATGTCTGTCCAGACAGAAAAGGAAGCCCCCTTCCTTCCTAGTCAACTAATTAATTGCGTAACAATTAACTGCATCTACTTACAGTATATAGTTATATACCCCTTAACCAGCTATGCCCATGGAAGCATTTCCCCAGAAAGCAATCAATCAAATTTCAAACCCAGGCATTGCAAACTGAGATGCAAAACATTCTACATGTGCCCGAAGTTCCATAATGTCTTTGTTGCACTCTGTCCCCTTTGAGAATGCCTTGGACAGCTTCCCGTGTTCTCTCTGGACACTGCTTGCTATATGGGCAGCTTTTAATAGGATATCGGCTATTGCTTCAAAATCAGACTCTAAACAGCCCCTTGTCGTCATTGCTGATGTCCCTATCCTCACGCCCCCAGGTGTAATAGTTCCATTGTCATCAAAGACCATGACTTTGTTGAGAGTAATATGACACAACTCACAAATCTTCTCAAAATTCTGGACTTTTAAGCCAAGATTCCTTATATCCCAAATTATCAGGTGATTATCTGTTCCACCAGTGACCAACTTACAATTCTTTTTCAACAATGCATTTCCCAAGGCTTGCGCGTTCTTCTTAACTTGTTGCATGTAAATGTTGTATTCGGGAGTTGCTACTTGTTTCAATGCTACGGCAAGGGCAGCAATGTGGTTGTTGTGTGGCCCACCTTGCAATGCCGGGAAAACCGCAAAATTTATCTTCTCCTCAAAATCATACTTATCACACACATCACCTTGATTCAAAACCATACCTTTCTTCCTTGATTTTGTACCCCTCCTATAAAAGATAATGCCTCCTCTTGGGCCTCGAAGACTCTTGTGGGTTGTGGCAGTAACTATATCACAATAATCAAAAGGGCTATCACAAACCTTTGCAGCGACCAGACCACTGATTTGGGCCATATCACACAACAAAACTGCTCCACACTTATCAGCGATCTGTCTAAACCGTGCATAATCCCACTCCCGAGGATAAGAACTTCCCCCACATATAAGTATCTTAGGACGGAAATCAACAGCCCTCTCCTCAAGCTGATTATAATCCACATATCCAGTTTGAGGATTGACCTTATAAGGGAAACTCTCAAAGAAAATTGAAGCCCCTGAAACTTTCCTCCCGTTCGGGAGATAGTACCCATGACTTGTGTTCCCACCAGAAGGTGTATCCAAACCCATAATACGATCACCAGGCAACAACAAACCCGTATATACAGCAAAGTTTGCAGATGTACATGAATAGGGTTGAACATTCACACCCCAATTCTCAGAATTAAGTCCAAAAGCAACCAAAGCACGCTCACAACACAGTGTCTCGATCTCATCAATGAACTGATTGCCTCCATAATACCTTGCTCCTGGCATTCCTTCTGAATACTTATTCGTTAAATGGCTTCCCAATGCTTCCATTACTGCCTTACACACGAAATTCTCTGAAGCAATCAGTTCAATCCCTTTGTATTGCCTCTCCTTTTCATTCTCCATTATCTGAAATAAATCAGGATCTGCTGATCGAAGGCTTTGATTCCCCCAAGCAATGACAGAGCTTCTAAGTGCTTCATGACTTTGTTGGTTATAATTAGAGATCGAGACCCTAGGGCCACCGTTAGATGAAGCAGAATGTGATGAGGTTGAATCAGCGTCCCTCTTCCGCTTCAAACACATAGAATGTCCCAAAATCCGAATCTCACAGTCATCCATACTCCCTCCGGCGTCCTTATCCTTAACTTCCGTCGCCTGTTTCTCCATCAACTGAAGTGGTACAGACGGTAGAGGATTGGGATGGTCGCCAAAGTTTGAATCGATCTGGAAAGAGATCGAATCATCAGCCGATTGGATCCGATAGCGATTGGGTGGAACAGGAGTCGAAGAGAGGGATGAAAACCCTAACGACAAATTACTTGGCTGCGATTGAGGTAAATCCATTCGAATCAAATCAATAACAACACCAAAGTAGAAAACTCACTCGATTATGTTCAAACCCTCAAGCTCCAATATGTTTTAACACTATCAGCGGCTGCAACAACAGTAGACTACGCCGGAGCAGAATTGGCTTGTGAATCTCACCGAGAAGCAGTAAGATAGCATCGATAATCGAATGATCAAAAGAGGACAATGACGATACGGAGGGTCTGAGACCGACCTAAGAGGAAACGGGAGTTTGTGGGCAAAGACTACAAAACGGGGTCAGAATTGATAGGGGGGTGAACCTGGACGCTTTTCTCGATTCAGGTACGAAGATTAGGGTACATACATGAGACATGTACGTATACATGAATTACATCTAAGACTAGGCTTTTTGGAATTGATTCTTCTGCTTCACCAATTTTTCAAAAACTGATTCTAGGACTAAATTAGAGCATCAGAATCAATTTTGCACTTTCGCCGAAACAGTCCAACTTCTGATTCTGCTCTCTGAAGGGACAGAAGCAGTTTTAAGAATCAGATCCAAAAACCCCCTAAATATTCTCCGGAGTAGTTTTTGTAAAGGAAAACTAACAAATTGGATGTTTTCTTTTAGATCAAAATTTGTTGGTCTAATCTGATCTGATTGATCTGATTTGGACTGGTCTGATCTAGTCTGATAAATTTTTGGTCAATGTGTATTTTTTAACTATGAATGTCTGATCTAGTCTGGTCTAATCTGACGTGATTGAGTCTGGTCTGATCTAGTCTGGTCTAGTCTAGCTTGAAACTGAAAATAGTCCAAAAGAAAATATCTTATGATGGCCAAATTGATAGTTTTCCTTCACAAAAACTATAATTAAATCCTCTTAATATAAAAGCATCTAATCAAATCCCTAAACTAAAAAATGCCTAATTTCATCTTTTACCGGTAAAAGTTGGCGTGGAGCTCATGTGGCATTAATTCCCCATATTTCTCCTTTTTTCAGTCAAGACAACGACAAAAAAAATAGTCTCTCACAAATAGGAGTGGGATCGGTCCAGACTGGGTCGGGTTTTTGTTCTACCCGGAAATTACCCGAAACTTCTCGGGTTATGAAAAACTAGGACCGAAAAAAAGCCCGACATATTCGGTCTGAGCCAGGTTTTTTGAAGCTCGGGTTCGGTCCGGGTTCGGGTAGGGTCGGTTAAAGCCCAATAAAAATCTATCATTGTTTTTATTGAAAACAATTATTAGAGTAAAAAAAATCCACAATGAATCAAATTAATTCAAGGGAAAAGGGGCAAATAAGCCCTCGAACTAATCAAAAAAGTGCAAATTAATAAGCCCTTTTGTAGGACGTTCCGTCCGGTCATCGTCATTTGGGGAGGTTCACGGTGGAATTTTTTGATGAAATGTTTTGAGCATCTTATTCATTAAGTCTAGTTTAGTCCTATTGAATTTCAGCTAAAAATTCACCCGGGAAGACAGTCAAATGAATTTTTGAAGATAACTGCGCAGTTAAACAACGCAGTATATTTCCGAAAATCATTTGAGTGCCTTCCCGGTTGAATTTTTAGCTGAAATTCGGTATGGCTAAACTACACTTAATGAAGAAGATGCTCAAAAAAATTCATCAAAAAATTCCACCGAGAACCTCCCCAAATGACGATGATCGGACAGAACCTCCTACAAAAGAGCTTATTTGCACTTTTTTGATTAGTTCGAGAGCTTATTTGCCTCTTTTCCCTTAATTCAACCTTCACACTTTCTATTATAGCTAGGTGTGGGCAAACGGGTCTTGGAACCGCGGTCCGGTCCGGGTAATGGCGGTTCGGGTACAAAACGGGCCAGTTCCATTTTTTGTTTCCATAAAACGGTCCGGGTAGGGTCGGGTATTTTTTTTTAAGGAACCGGACCAGTTCCAAAATTAAAAAATAACGGGTACCCGGCCCGGCCCGTTATATATATTATATATTAATTTATTAATAGTTTTTTGATAATCGGTTTTGAAATAGTTTTGTTTCCTGTGCTAGAAGTAGGATTTTAAATTGAGTTGCAGTAACATCCTTTTGTTTTCAAATTATTGATTAAATGTTTCATAAATATCTTTTTACTTTTTATTGTTATTGAATTATTCCTTTCTATCGAATTTAATTATTTGTTAAAGACGATTTTGTTATATTTTTTTTGTTATATTGTTATTAAAACATATAAATTGTGTTTACCACCCACCATGTATGTGTCAACTTTGGCTAATACTGAAAATTTAATATATAAAAAAAAGCAATCACTTAAATATGTGATGTTAGACAACATGTTTAAATACAAATGTTAGAAAATATGTATTTTGGCTATGTTGCATATTTTTGGAATTTCTTTAATTGTTTGAAACTTATATACAAGAAAATATGGAGTATTGGACTTTTCACTTGTGTTATATATGCACCACTATGTTGTTATTTTGAAATTTGCTAATGTCCTATATTATTGATTATTGATTTTTGGAACTTCGTGATTTTTTACTAATTTCAAGACATTAGAATAGAAACCGTAAAACCCGGACCGGACCGACCCGTTTCAAACGGGCCGGGTAATTTCCGGTTCCTATTTTGAAAATTGTAATACCCGGACCGGACCGAACCGTACAATGGAACCGGCGGTTCCATTTTATTTTGTATTACCCGCCCCGACCCGGCCCGTGCCCAGCCCTAATTATAGCCATTAGCCCAAGCAAAAGTGTTGAATCTATAATTCAAAGGCTATAAGCAACGATGTTTCAATTTCAAACCCAAAAAAGTACTGAAACATTAATAATTCAAAGGCTATAAGCAGCGAGGAGAACTCTAGAGTGTGAAAAATTAGCTTTTGTAGGATTGATTACTCCTTGAAAACATGAAAAATCCATAAATTTACCTCTTCGGAATTCTAAATGGCATCCCATATTTGTCCTTTAGACTTCTAAGTTCTCTCCCTAATTCCCAATCGGCTGATGGAGATGCCGAAACTATTGGGACGGTTGGCTTTCCGATATATTATTTACATATACTTAATATTTTATAATAAATTATAATGAAATATTCGGGTCGGGTTTTGGCCGGTCTGGGTCGGTTTGTAAATTTTACGGACCAGATTTGGGCCCGAAATTTCGGGTTCGGTCCGGGTTTTTTTACCCGGCCCGCCAAAATTAAAAAAAACGGCCCGGTAAAAATTTTCGGTCCGAGCCCGGGTCGATTTTCGGGTTTCGGTTCGGTTTTTCCCACCCCTACTCACAAAGGTGGGTATAAGGAGTAAGTTCGAATAGCAACCTTGCGACAGAAATATTGTCTGTGAATCTCATTCACAGACATAACATACATCTTTTGTCGTTGTGTTGGCCCAAAGAAAAGGAGAGAAAGATGATGGTTGTTATTGCCCCACTTTTGGCGTCACTTAAATTCGAAGAAGATGAAGTAGGACATTCCGCCATTTTATAGCCAAAACATTCTCTGGCCGAGCTTGACATCCATTCCCTCCTGAGTTTGTCTTCGTTTGGGTCTTGCTCGCTATCCATAAATAAGTTCTAGTTCTATAGTTCATCTTTTGAAAGATGGCTCTGTTTACAAATGCTTCTGCTTTTTAAAAGTGTCTTTTTTTAATAGATGGTAGTAAAAGTGATCGGTAGTAAAAGTAGGTAGTGTTTTGAAGTAGAAGTGATTTTGATTAAAATGTAAAAGTTGAAGTGTTTGATAAAAAAATGATTTTTGATGTTGTTTTTGTGTAAAGTACATAACTACCCCTCCTCTAATAAAAAAAAAAACTTAAATGTCGACTCCCTTTTTTCATCTTCCACGCACACACCTTCTCAAATGTCGAGTCCAGGAGCCAGGGAGCTAGGGTTGACGCAACCAAGGGCGGCGAAATCACGGACGGCCAAACCAGGTTAGATCCGAACAATCACTCAACCTTACCTAGAAGGGTTGATAGTCGTATCGGCGGTTCTGAGGTTCCAGAGATGGCACTTCCCGCTCTACTTAGGTTTGAGAGAAATGCGAAGGGAACGGAGGAGAAATGTGGGGCTGAAGTACGCCAGATATTTTAGCTGATAGAGGGGTAGATATGGAATAAGGATAATAAATTAAATTAACATTATCCTCAAAGTTGATGTTATTTACAAAAAAAACCAAGGCAACTTTTACAACCTAGCTTTGAACTTCTAGATGTGAAGTGCTTTTAATTAAGCTGGAAGTTGGATTTGCAAACACAATTTTAGGATTTTTGCTTAAAAAAAAGCTAAAAGTACTTTTGTTAAGGGATTGCAAACTGACCCATATTCTCATAACTCATCTTTTGATTTTTTTGTAACTCATCTTTTGATTGATGAGCAATTATGTAATTGATATTTGTTGTAGGAGAAACCTTCCATTATGAAATTATTTCATTTTAAAAGAAGGTGAAGATGATTTTGGAAGACCAAGAAAATAAAAAGTACTGTATGTTGTTATAACATTTTTAGCACGACTCTTGAAATAAAATATAAAAACTATTTTGAGAAATTGTCAGAAGTGGGATTTGAACCCACGCCCTCTTTCGAAGACCAGAACTTGAGTCTGGCGCCTTAGACCACTCGGCCATCCTGACTTGTGATGACTTGGGACACTATTTACATACAAGACTAAAGAATATTCAAAGGTGATCCACCACTCTTAACTTTAAGCTTGCAAGTTGGAACGCAGCAAGATCCCCAAAAGGCCATGACTATCGAAGTAGAAACTAGAAAGACTATGTTACTCCCTTTAGTTTTAATTACTACAAATGCTTTTTGTTCCCTTATACAAAAATACATTTTGTACACACTTTTATACACTTTTATACATATCTGTATATTTCTTACACTTATACGCCAAGCTCCACGCATTTATAAAACAAACGGACCGTGTCTAATAAATTTGGAAGGTTACTTTCATACACACTATTTCCACACGCTCTCTATTTTGTAAATTTATATGTGTACAATGCAAAAAATATATATCTTTAAAAATACAAAAATATTGGGAAAACTCTTCGAAATTGTCTGTGTGCCATGTAAAAAAAAGTGTATACATAACCCGGTGTGTACTCTATAAATGACACAATAAATTTCCTTCTTTTTTAGGAAACGAAAAACGATTATGTGTCTTACGAATCTATGTTTGGAAAGTAAAGCTAAAAAATGACATCTCATTGCCGAAGGCCATTAGGACTGACCAAACTATATATATGCCAAATAAAATTATTGTCTAAATTGTATACAACTTCAATGAAAAGACTCATTTGACTATATATTTAAAGGTGTTTGATAGAAATAACACTAAAGAAAAGTTAAGAATAAAAAAATGACCACATGACTAATATG